ATGCAGATTATACGCAAACATTTGCAGAAAAGTGTGCTCCAGTTTTGGGAAATAAAGTTACGTTATTAAAGTTAATTAAAACATTTACTTAAAATAAAAGAAGGTTATTTAAATGAAGCTAAACTTAAGTCTAAGCACAATTTAAATTATTATAATCTTTTTTTATATAAATTTATATACTTTCAGTACTAATAATATTTATTTTATTTGCTCATTTTACTGTTGAAATGTTCAATTTAATCTGCACTTTTCCATTTATTAATCATCATATTTAATTACCCTTTGAATGTTTAACTATTTATCCAGATTCTTTTTCATTATAAGCCACAATGTAAATTAGAATATTTAATTTGGTAATTTGAAACACAAACTCTTGGGTATTTGTGTGTGGCAATTATGCTGGCCATATCCTAATAATGCAATTTAATCGTTTGCCATTTTATAAATACTTTTGTGCTTTTGTTCCCTGATTTATATATCACGATCAGTGGAATGTAGTAGTCATTGATTTTTATTGTTCCCGCTAGTTAAACTTTTATTGACTTTTAATTTCATTTGCCGTATTTAGTTTATGCTAATGGGATTACAATTTTATGGGAGAGTTGTGGCTTTTTACATTTCGAGTGCCATCTGTGCATATTTTTAGGACCGACTGGATTAGAGAGAGAGAGTGTGGTGTGAGTGTGATGGATGATGTGTGAAAGGGATGGACTTACACTTTCAACCCGACACCTTTGAAAGGCATAATATTTTATTTACAAACGTTGGAAATTTTTTAATTACAATCATAAGTCATTGTGGAATCATAGGACAGCACTCCTGCTCATAAATTTCACACTCAACTCATTTCCTGCTCATTATCATATATATCCAGAAATTGTACAAAAACCTCAGACACAATCTCAATGCGTTCTGGGTTGGGTTTTTAAGTTTTTGGGGAACCTCAAGTCTAAGGATGCACTGCAAGAAATACTAGAAAATTATCTAATAAAATTCCATTATAAGTTTCGTAACAAGTACTACTTTCAATATGATGTTTAATACTCTTCATAATAAATATTCTTAAAATTCAAGGCATTTTTATAAAGTATTTTCAATTTTATTTGAAACTTATTATTACCCTTATTATGGAAAAAATATATCAAATATTATTCAAAGTGAAGACCTTTTTATAAAACGTTTTCAACATTATTTTAAACACATTTGAACACATTGAACTATTATAATATTTATTCATATTAACATTTAAAGACAATTGATTTTAACTAAAAGTATAAGTAGTTATTTATCTAGAAATTAGTTAATTATATTTGCATTAATGATTACTTAATCACCTCATTTTTTTGCCAGTGTGGAGGATGGATAGCAGGGGAAGGCAGAAGCATATCCACACTCGTCGTGGCCTGTCCAAAAAACCCACTCAATATAGGGGTTTGGTACTTCGGTGAGTGGGCGTCCTGGGGTCTTTGGATAACTGCGTGTGTTTCTGTATCTGAGCGCCGTATCTGTGCCTCCATGTGTTTGTCCATGAGATTTGTGGCCTGGGCGGAGATCCGGATCCCTGGAGATGTTGGGGAAGGTAATCATGCTGTCACAGTCGCTAATTTCAATTATCTTGAGTGTGCACGTATACGTAATTTGTTTACTTTTGAGAAGGAAAAAAGATGGCAAGAAGGCAGCGCATCCGCATCCTTCCAATAAAGTTAAACACGTACATTAAAGTGCATTTATAAGTCTCGTGATTCCCTTGGCCTCCTCATCTTTTTCGGCTTTGGCTTGACAATCAAAATGTCATTTCATTTCGTTTGGGAAGCTCGCAAATCCGCAATTGAGACGCAACTTACATGTCATTAACAAGGCTTAAGCCAAACGACATGACAGTCAAACAGGCAGTCAGTCTGTCCGTCAGTTCGTCCGTCCGTCCGTCAGAGTCATAGAGTGAGTGACAGAGAGGGCGAGTGGCGGTAGAGAGAGATAGGACCAGAGACAACAAAGGGAATGTCAACATTTCTGCCTAGATAATGCCGAATGCACTGCAAGGTTGCCAAACTTCTTGAGGTACCAAGTAATGTGAAATCGGTTCACATCTTTAATCAGACCAGCTTAAGATGTAAATGGGTAAACAATATTTGTATCAATGAGAATTGAGGGACTTGTAGTTCTCAGGTCTTTGCTGATATTCAGCAATTAACTTTTACTCTCACACTTTGTTTGTTTGGGAATGTATAACTTGAAAGGTATTGAACAGTTTAAATAGATATGAGACACGAAATCGAAAACATTATTAAAGTATAAAAATATATATATAAAGTAAATGTATTCAAATAATTTAGAAAATTTAGAGACCAACTACTTAATCTATAAGATATTGTATTTTATTACGCTTGAATAAAATAAATAAAATATCATACAAGAGTTCAAATGAATGAATATGAGTAATTTGGGATCCTTTTTGGTAAAAGTAACTCATCAGTTAATGTAGAAACACATTTTATTAAATAGAATTACTCAGAATACTACTAAAATTAACATTAAATACATGTGTGAAGTAAACTATAAATTATGTTTAATTTGTATGAAGAATACTTGTTCTTTCCCAAGTTAATGGTCCATTTATATATTTTAATACATGTAATTTAGTATATGGTCTAATTTGATCCATTACTAAGCCCGATTTTGTAGCCCTGCGCAGTTGCCGAACTTCACTCAGAGTGCTAATGAAGCGCGGCAACCGGGCAAGGGACGGATATCTCACCTCTCAAGCAGAGCAACTCGGCCCCGGCTGTAAATTGGCCAATTATCAGCATTTGAAATATGGTTTACCTGCCACAATTTTCCCTTTTCCTCTACCTGCATTCCTCGGCCATAAAAGGTGAGCCAGCGGTGAGCGAGCGGCACTGGGGATCGAGAATCGGGACTTGAGAAGGCTACAAATGCATGTATTTTCATACAAATACATATATATATATCCAGCGACAAACGCACTTTGACCTTTCTTTGCTGCCAAAGACAATGCACATTGTGTGGCAGAGAGCGAGAGAGAGATGCAGCGTCCACACCTGCCCGCTCCTAAATGCACGCACAATTCCTTTATGGAAAGAAAAGATACACACCTTTATTTTACACTTCCCAAACGAATGTATCTCTTCTGAGCACCGGCATTAATGAACCGACTTCACACTCGAAAAACTACCTGGGTTAGAAAAGTTATTGATTATTTAACAAATGCTGGGAAATTAGGCAGCGATTTATAGAGGAAAGCCCTTTCGGATATGCACTTTGATAAATTAATACAATATCGTCTGGGCTGGCCATTCAATTGATTTCGAAATTCATTAGCGCGCCGGTAACGGAGCAACGGAGGCGTCTATGATATAGGGACAGTGTCCAAGATCGGGGTCTCCACTTTGATTTCTATTCATCGGATATTCCCATTTCTATTCTCTATATTTTGTTGTTGTTGTTGTATTCTTGGCCCAGAAATGTGTCTGGCTTTATTGCAGTTTGGAAATAGATGAGCTAACAGCTGGAGAGTGAGTGCGGCACTCGAGCAGATTAGATAGCAAATGGTCGTCCCCTTTGAGGCGGAGTTGGAGTTGGAGGGTGTACAATGGAGCCAAGGGGGCAATCAGATGCAACAAGTAGGGATTATCCCCGGGCTCGAGATGTTTTCAAATTCGAATGGAAACTATCCGAGCTAAGCAGCACAAAGACTGGCAATTTGTTGCCTTGACAACCTGAAAAAGAGCTTAAATTATGGACGAATAAAGCAATATTAAAAAAAAAGAGTTGGTGGATAAACATTTCGAACAGAGAAATGGACTGCGACTCGTGTTTACATCAATTCGATAGAAGACTTTTTGTGTCAATAAAGCACAGTCCAGCATTAAAGCCCATTTTTCACTAATCCAAATGATGTGACAAGAGTTAGTCGAAATAAAAACATTCACCTGAAAGACTTTTATTAAAATGCTGGATTATAGTATTGTTTTATTTTGTATATAACTGATAAGCAAGCTCTTACATTTATGTTGATTTGTAGTCTTTTTGAATGTTACAATTTTTTATACCAAATTATAATGCTTTTTATCATTGATTGCCTAATTCATTTAAAGTGAATTCAGTACTTATCGAAGTATCATATTGTGCAATGCCATTTTTGTTTCAATTCAAAAGTTCCAATTGATATGCAAAAAGGACACAAACAAGTTTTGATTATTAAAAAGGAAGGCCGGCTGCCGGTAAAAAAAAAGAAATTGAATTTGTTTAAGCCAGTAAATATAATAAAATCAGTGCGATTGACCACCAAATATACTAAATCTGAGTAGAGAACTTTATAAAATATAGAAAACTTTTAATTTAAAACTGTGAACAATTAAAAATCGAAACCGTACAATCAATAAGCATTAGGTAAATGCATTTAAGTAAATAATAATAATTGCTATTTAAGCTTACCATTGTGACAATATGTTTGTACAAAGACAATGTGGTATATATTTATGTATCAATAGCATTGTAGGGTTCCCTCGTATTATCAACATGGTGATGCATCAACATTTTCCTGTCCACAGACGAAACGATCGGAAACGGACCATAACAAACCGAAGCAGCGCGTAAACAAACGTCAATGCGTTCCACAGCATGCAACAAGCGGAAACGAGTGAGAAACGGAACTGCCGAAGCGGCCGCACGAAGCGCAGCCGAAGTGGAGTTCGGGTAAGCGGCTGCTGGGCCGAAAGCAATACGAAAAATCGCGTTTCAGTCGCATTTTATTCGTCGGTCGGTTCGAATGTACCGTTCGGTTCGTTCGGTGGATATTCGTTCGTTCCGGGTATCGGATCAAGAGTGGACTCAGATATTCATTCTAGTGAATGTTGAAGAATTCAAACAAAACAGCCTAGTCTCAGGCAGCGTGTGCTAACCGAAAATCGCGAAATGAGTGCAAATCTATTTTAAATGGTGTGCAATTAAGGGAAGGGGAAGGAAAAATACTTGACAAAATGCATTCGTGCGAGATGCGTGGCATGCCGCGGCGGTTGCAGCCTCACCGTTTATCTAACGAAAGCGAAATAAGAATCAGAAATAAAATTAAAAATAGAAACAATCGAGCAGCTCTTGGCGACCGTCTAAAAATAATCAAACTCGATCGCAGGAGTCGTCCGCTGGTGAATTTCCCGATTTTCCCACTGCTCCCGCTGCTCCTCGCGGGATTAAATGGATTAACACAAGTTGGAGCTCTCAAGGGTAAGTGTCAACAGATGCAACTAGATACAAAGACGCAAAGCGCAGACACCATTTGAAGGGCAATATGACAAACTATTTCCTCCCGGAGCCAAAGCGAAAATCCTTTGTGGCTGCCAATGCATTTGGCTTCCTCCGCTTCGAGCCTATGCACTCCCCCGTTTATTTATTAGCCTCATTTGTTTCCATTTACGTTTTTTTCGTCTCCATCTTTTTGGCTATTTTTGGTTGCAACAACACACACACCAGCAACGAAGTGAAATTAAGGCACTGCGGTTTATTTATGCCTGCAACGTTCGCTAATGGATTTTAAGGCCGCTTTATAGACAACGCGACATCGACTCCGTTCATAGACCCATTATTCATGCCTCTCTCTCTCTTCGATAATGTTTCTTCTTCTCTCTTTCTCATTAGAGATGAACATTATGGGCAGATATAACCATTTTGGACGCATCTTTTAAAGCAGGAATGGGCACCAAATGTTAAGCTAGGAGCACGATGTTAGCTTGTTTGATTTGCGTGGTGCAATAGGTTTAGATTTTATAATTCTTTTCAAATCTCTACTGCAAGTTTAGGGCCACCCAAATGATGCTTCTTTATCATAATGAACAAAAAATAAAACAAAGATAATGTTAACCCAGTGAACCCACTTAGGGATCGCATTTGTGGAAACTAAATACATTTTCCAAAGAATACACAGATCGAATTACAAATCGAACTCTGAAGTCCGGACTAAAATGAACCAAAAATGCATGTGTAGAAAGACATGTAGAAAACATAGACAGATGAGGGTTACTCAAGGCAGAAGAGAAAAAACTGTATACCCCTAAGGGAGGATCACGGGAAAGATCACTCACCAGAAACCGAACTTTAGATAAATGAGTAATGAGTTTGCAGTTCGTTCGCCACGAAAGACTAATCAAGCGCGCTATACATAGAGATGGGTTTCCCCAACCAATCTTACAGCTGATTACAAGAAATCAAACAAAGAATACAGTTTGCGGCTTTTGTGGTTTTGGAAGATGGTTTAAGCTTGAGGTTAAAAGCAACGTTGAATTGTGCTCCCTTTGGCGATTTCATGGCTCGACAAATCCTCAGATAAAACATATATCTAAATGAGCTTAAGCCGTCACACCCCTTTGCAACGCTGCTGCGCTGAGAATGTTGTAATCTAATGCTTATTAAACGCTTTTTAATGCCAAACCAACGATTCCCACTCCACCGATATCTCGGCGTGGACACACGCAATTCGGATTTTCGAAGTAGGATTTCGGATTTTGGATTTCAGTAAACATTTAGCACGCAACCTGAGGCTGAGTATCTGTATCCAAGTTCTTCTCCGCTCAACCCATGATGTGATGTGGCAAGTGTTGCACGCGACGCTTAGCGACGTCGCTCGTTTCATATAATAAATTGTATAAAATTATCTGCACTGGCACACGACAGGATTTTTCCCTGCCCCAGTCAAGGAGCAACGGGTTCTGGTGGTGTGTGAAGACCAGCGACTTTTGCCTTTGGGTGGTGCTGGTGGTGGGTCAATCGCAGTCGGCTTGAGAATCTGTCGGGGTCATAAAAATTATCGCCCTCAACAAAGTTGCAGGGTTGACAGTGAGCAGCAACCTTCTAATGCCACTCTGGGGAGCGTTTTTCCAGCTAACTGGACTCACTGCACTTTTTTCTACTCCTTAATTTTTCCTTTTTTTTTTTTGTCTCCGGGGGTGGCAGGGCTTTTTCTAGGTTCGGGTTTCGCCTTTGTCTTGGCAATTTCTGTTAGCATTTTTGTGTTTTTTTGCTGCCTCTCGGCTCTTGTGCAATTTTCTCATGTGCATTATGCGAAAATTGGGCTAAGTAGCGGTCTCCGGCTTACTTTCCTTTCCCGGGCGATAGAAATGGAGTCAAGTGCTGTGGCAGCTCCGTAGTATGTTATTTGTTCAATCACATGATTGCCCTACCAATCGCCTGGCACTCAACAAGATCTCCCATTTGCTCCCAGCTGCAGGCCACATAATGAGGGGGGTCTCTGACTCGGTCTTGCACCGATATGTTGCCACAGAGTTTGGGGGCAGGAATTGTGATTGAAAGGCGGGTCGATGTGGGTGGAAAATGTGGGGGTTCCTTCAGCTAGGGAAAGGTATTAAATATAAAGATATGTCTCACATATACCATTCGTGGAAAGCTAACCAGGATATTTGGTTATTCAAATTAAAAATGAATGTAATGCCAGTACCTTATAATGTTAGAGTGGAAATAAATCATATACATTTTGAAATAGAAAATATAAACTTGTGATTATTAATCATGACTACATCCTGAGTGTGTTAACTTTCCTAGAAGGTAACAAAGACTTTTAGAGCAATACAAATATGTCCTCCTTCCACTGGGAAAATCATTCAACTACTAATTGCTACTAACTATAGCTGTAGCTCTTCTTGCCTCAGTCATTCGATCTTGGGCCGGCTATTTGCCAACCAAACAATAATTAATTATTTAAAACAACAATCCGGGCTGGGCCAGAACATAGCTGCAACAGCAGCAACATGGCCAAGGAAAGGCTGAGAGGCGGCTAGCTGGACATGGTCAGCACAGCGACGTGGTCTGAGCCAAGTTTTGCCTACGCAAAGATTTTTGTTATTTCTTGCTTCCTGGAGATCTGGGACCCAGCCTGACAGCCAGTCCAAATCGCCATGCTGGAGCCGTACTTGATATAGCCGTGGGTTTTATGTACATTTTGTTGCCGTTGCTCTGGGTTGTGATATTAAAAATAAAGGAAAATTAAGCCTGGCAGCCGCGTAAAATGCAAACTTGCATCCGAAATGTTGCAGTTATGCCAGTTGGCGTTTAAAGCCGTTGTTACTGTTGCTGTTGCTGTTGCTCTTGCCGTTTTTGTTGCAGTTTCTGGCCACATTTTTGCATGCAATGCGCCTGGAAAATGGTTATTTCTTTTTTTGAGAAGGCGTTACTGGATTTTCCGAAAAGCGTTTTCGTTTTTTTCGTTTTGGTTACTCGCTGCCCGTTTATATTCGTTCGTGGTGGTTAGCTCGGAGCAAATCTGAGCTTGGTGAGAAAAAGGTTTGCAAATTGCATTGGAAATGCTATGTGTGAAGGGGTGGGGAATCGCACGGCTAGAAATGGGAGAAAGGAGTTAACGGAGGGGTGTAACTGTAACCGGAGGAGGATATGCAATTCTGGAGAGGTCAATCAACATGGAAATTTGATTCACAAGTTATGGGAAAAGCCGTGAGGGAGAGATTGTCTTGGGTTATCTTTGGATATTTATTAGAAATACGTTTTAAGAGGCAGCATTTTGAAAGTTATTGGTTTTATTTCAACAATTTAGACCACAATTCTCCTGGTTTATGCTGCAGGAAAAACGCTTTACAGTTAAACGAAATAAGTTAACTGGAAGATCAACAAGTCGCCGTGGCTAATATGTATTTAATTACACAAATCTGAAATTTCCGGCTGCTCCGAAAAAAGAGGTTTGTCTTTGTCTTTGTCATTTATCCTTAAGCAAGTCGTCGGCAGAGATTTGCATATTTGCACTTGATGATGTTGAAGTTGAGCCGGGTTGCAAGTTGCACGTTGCAAGTTGCTGCTGCTGCTGCTGCTGCTGCAGACATACCCGCCAGCAATCGCCATTTGAGTTTGGCTACCCGGCTGCCTACGCGCGGCAAGGAAATGATGAAAAATTTTCAAAGAATCGCCTTGAGTCATCGTTTGCAGTCAGTTGCCACAACGTTGGCGTTGCATTTTTGTCTCTCTGCGAGACGACGGCAAAAGTTTTATAATTTGTTAACAAGCCCAAAGAGATCGGCGCCGCTGAGTCCGGGCAATTATGACAAGTTGACAAACGGCTTAATCTCAATCGGGACTTGCTGTGCGATCCTCGAATCACAGAAGATGCGACGCCCGGCATTTAAATCAATAAAGCACCGAGTCTCGTCGATCGCCCGGACGTTTATCGCATTCGGGATATCTAATATCGGATGAGGAGTTGGACTGGGACTGGGACTGGGACTGGGACTTGGAGTCGGAGTCGCGTCGAGACCAAGTCCAAGTGCCGTGTTTCAAGTCTTTGCCAGCGAGTGCGACACATGCAAATTGGCCAATGTTGCTAAACAAGTTTCGCGGTTGTTGCTTTTGTGGCTTGTACTCACCTGCGTACGACGACAACAGCAACAGCAACAACAGCAGCAACAACGACAACAAACATGCAAAAATTGGATTGCTGACTCTGCGTGCAAATAAGGCAACAACAACCCGCTCAAAGTTGGCTATAAAAAGGCGCTGCCGTTGCAGACAATCAGCCATAAATCTAAATGACTGTCAACCCAGGCGAAACCTACAATGGAGTCTTGTTCTTGCAGCAGCAGCAACATGTTGCACAGCCATCCAACTTGCCACCCCACCGTTTCCTGCCCCCCAAACTTGGAGGAGACCCAGACTCATTTGCTGCCATTGGCGGGCCACTGATAAGACACTAAAATATGCTAAAAAGCTAAAATAAACTTGATATTGATATTGCGGTGGCATTGCCAGTGCCATAAAGCAAAAAAGCATTTAGTTAGGGATCATAGAAGGAATTCAGACGGCGGCGGGGATATGCAAAGTGCTTGCTAAATTATGGCAAATGCCGCGGCAATAAAATTAAGAAAAGATGTAAGCACGTCCTTAAAGTAATAATATGCAATCGAGACAGGGAACCATATTTTGTAAATTCTAATGAAAGCTGTCAAATAAATGTCAAAACTAAGTGTGATGTGAGGCATAAATTAAAGTATCTCTTGATTGAATTTGTTAGTTTACCTTTAAACTGAATAAAATCCAATAAAATACAGATTAAGTTTAATTAGTTTTGGATAACTGACTTATGTTTATTAAAGAAATACATATCCTTAAGCTATTAGAACTTACAAAGCATATTATTTCCGAAATCTGTAACTAATAATTAAGAAATTTAATCACTTAATTATTGTATCTATTTGAATTCCAAGTGAATAGAT